AGCACAGGAAGTTCCCCAAGGTGACCTGTATCAATGTTCACAAGCCCAATATCCAGCTCCACGGGGAACGGTATGGGCATGTTCAGATGGGAAAATGTATTCCCACTTGAACATGTATGATATGGCTGGACTCCAGTGTACTATTGGGTTTCCTACCATGTGTCCATCTAAAACGTTCAATTATACACTTTATCGTAACTCCAAAGCGCGGAGAGAAGTCCACGATCCAACAGATGCAAAAGGGTGGATTCGGGGGATTCAAGTCCCTGACTATTATGCCTGGGGACAAAATGTTGCTTTAGACTTAGAATCATTTTTTGTGTCCAGTGGAGTTATCCAACAGCACAAGTATGTCTTGGAGAACTTAACTAGGCAAGTCCATGTGTTAAGCAACTGGACCGGACGTTCACTCAGGGAACCAAATGTGCAGGCCCAGCAGGCATCAAAAATGGCTTTGCAGAACCGATTAGCCCTAGATATGTTGTTGTTGAAAGAGAATGGAGTGTGTGGGATGCTAAAGCTAATGGATGGAGAATGCTGTGTCACTGTCCATAACGCCACCACCACCATAGAAGAGGCACGTCAGAAGATGAAGGAGATTGCTGAACAAATGGGAGAACTGTTTCAAGCAATGGAACCAAAGGACTAGTTTGATGGACTAAGCCTGGATTGTGGATCACACATACTAAAGTGACTTGGATTTATGGGATGGGGAAGGTGGCTTGTGTGCATTGCCATTATGATACTGTGTGGATTCCTGGGTTTGGTGATAGGTCAAAAAGTCACGACAAACTGTGACGAGTTCATTATGGTTATAGCGGAAAAGAATAGAGTTTCTAGCACTGTATAATTCCATACCATTCATGTCATGGCAAGAACGTGGTTGGAGCAGGAGGAAGTCAGGGTCTGGAAGTAGAAGGGTGGCCATCTTTTGCTATGCTCGGGGATGTGGCTTTTCTGATTTGGTGCTCAAAGACAGAGCCCAGCTGAGCCATGTGGAGCCCAGGCTGCAGCTGCAGCAGCCACTGGAACTGCCTCTGGAATCTCCAAGCTCTCCAGTACCGCTCCCACAAAGTCAGGCCCAGGAGGAGGGTCCTCTGACTTGCTTCAGAACCCTGTCAGGTCCCACCAGGTTTTGCCTTGTCCCTGTTCTTCCATTGTTTTTGGTCTGAGGGGGAAACCTTAAATTGTAAGCCGTTTCAACATTCTGCTTTTGTTTTGCCATATATACCATGCTGCCTAGCACGGGGCCAGTCATCATTTTGCCTTCGTCTTGGAAAACCACACTGGCTGTGGTCTTTAGGGAGTGTTTTTGTTTGTTCAGTGGTGAATACCCTTTTGTGGGTAAAACACTTTCTCTTTTATATACTCTTTTATTAATATTGTTGTGGTTACTGCAATTTTTCAGTAAACTGTTACTCCAATTTATATTCTCTCCTAGTGTTTCCTCCGCTGCTGGAAGGGGGCAGGGGAACAGGAGCAGCTCAAGTAGGTTTAATATTCCCACTGGGTTTTAAATCAGCACAGAGCTCTAAGACGGGGATGAAGGAGACTGTTGGAACTTGTGAAAAGACTGGTGACCTTATAAAATAAAAAAATATCATAAAAAGTCTCATAAAAAAAGCTCTAAGACTGGTGACCTTATAAAATAAAAAAATATCATAAAAAGTCTCATAAAAAAAGCTCTTACTGTGTGAGGAATATTTGAGTTCACCACCAAAGACTCCAAGACATGCACTGCTGGGGATTTCGTTGCTAGAATCGCTTAGCAAATCTATGCAAGCATGTTGGCACTTATAATTTTATAGGGTAAATATGAAGACACACAAGCATGATTTATTGATAGAGCAGAAGCTATATATAGTGCCCTTAACTGTATTATTAAAAATGAAGGTAAATAATTAATGGAATGAAGGAAAGATACATACAACTCTGGCAGTTTTGATGGGTGTTTTGCAGTAATTAAAAGAGAATATATTTTATGTTTTTCTGGCAAAAAAGATTACTTCCTCATTTCACCTGCATGCTAAGAGATGCTGTGTGTGGCCACAGAAGCTGTGCAGCCAGCGTGAGAGGAGTCAGGGAGGGAAAATGCTCATGGCTGTCTTGAATCAGAACCATAAGCAGCTGTCAGACAGTCTCAGCAGTCCCGGCACTTCACCCAAACACGTTCCAACACAAGCACTGCCACGGCCTCCCTGCCTTACTGTGCAGGTGGGAGAACTGAACTGGGTACATGGGGTGCATGGGAAACCATTCCCAAGTTCAGCCCCAGGAAAGCCTTGAAGTGGGAGAGAGAAGTCTTCTACTTGCACCACTGCATCTGCCCTACCCTCTTGTAAAACCAGTGGTGTTCTGATGCCTGGCTTGAAGATGAACAGAAATCTAGAAATTGAAGTGCTTTCAGTGGTCATAATGGATAAAATCTGTTTCTGGCTGTAATTTTTCAGTACTATTGCAGCTTTCAAAGCCTTTTTAAAAACCCCCAAACAGTGAAAAAATGCTTAATTTTTTTACAGCATCAGGGCACTTGTGGTTAGTCCTTCCCAAACCGTGAGCCCACCTGGTCCAGTCCCAGCACCAATGAGAATCTGTGCCTGTTTTCATGCTCAAAGGCTTCTTTTCCCAGGTCTATTATTTTTATTCATCTCACCAGTGTCTGTCGGTATCTCAAGGGAGGGTGTCAGAGGATGGTGCCAAGAAAGAGGGGAAATGATGAAGGGTCAGAAACTGATCCACAGGAAGTTCTACCTGCATTTGAAGAACTTCTTTATTATACCTGTGACCGAGCAGGTTGTCCAGAGAGGTTGTGGAATCTCCCTCACTGGAGATATTCAAGAACCTGGATGCAGTCCTGTGCCCTGTGCTCTGGGATGACCCTGCTTGAGCGAGGAGGTTGGGCCACATGAGCCACTGTGGTCCCTTCCAACCTGACTCGTTCTGGAAAAGGGCTGAAAGTTGACCAAGCGCTGAAATCAATAACCAGCATTAAAACCAAAGCTCCTGCAAGTTCCCACAGCTCTCCCATAGTTTCTAATCAAGCTCGGCACGCATTACAAGCAGTCAGTTATGAATAATAAATTACAGCCACGTTCACAGAGCTTTGTGTATCTGCTCTCCCAGACCAGCTCCGGTCTCGGGCACGGCCTCGCCCTCCGGCAGTGCGGAGCCGAGCTCCTGCGTTGAGATAAAGGCATCTGTGTGTGTGCAGACCCTGGCTGCGGGATGCGGGTGCCCGGTGTTTGGGCCCGGGGCAGCTCCGGGGGCCGCACACGCTCAGGCCGAGCTGGCGGGGCCGGGCCGGCCGGAAGTGGCGGCGGCCGGGCGGAAGCGCCGCCGGGGAGGGC